GACTTTGTTCTGAAAATGGCTGGCAGTCAATGAGTTCAGAGAAACTATTTGATGGAGATTTTATGCTGGTATCAAAAAGGACCGAAAAGGACTGAATGGCTGAATTTGAAAGTGAAGAAGAATTTAAACTGAATAAAAAAAGAATTGGAGAAAAAAAAGACTATTCAAGAACAACATGGCTGCTCCAAATTCCGAATTCCTAAACTCAAAGTGGTTCTATATTTTTTTATTACATATTTGGACTTGACGTTCATTAAGTTTTGAACAGGATAATAATAAATGTATGCTTTTTGGCAAAGGATTAGAAGAACGAAAGCTTATTTAAGCCCCAACTGTTAGGTCTGTAGAGTAGTTTTCTGTTTTTCCCCTACCCTCCTCTAGGTGGCCAGATCTGTAATGGTTCCAGCTGGTGCCAATCTAACTCATCAGGAGCAGCCATAAGAAGGAGCAGTTCCATGCGGCAGCTGCCAGATGATTTCCTCACTTAGTGTGGTACAGGCCAATCTTTCTTCGTTTTTGGATAAGAGACCTAGTAAACCCTTTCCCTGTCTAACCAGTACCCTGGATTTCTTCCAGCCTTCCTGCCTCCGTTTGCTCCTCGCTGCTTCCCTCAACACATGCCCTCCCAAGGATTCACCAAGGCGGCGGCTCCAGACACAGACATCACCTCCACCATCCTCACCAACAAAGAATAAATTCTTTGACTGAGCTTCTGTCTTAAGTTGTGGTCCGCTTAAGAGTTTCCAGCTATGACATGACACCAACTGCTATCAAGTTAAAGTTTGGGATGTCTCAGTTCTTTTTTTAAAATCTCAATTCTTTTGCAGCTGTCGTCATTTAAGCTCCATCGTATCAAAGAATGCTGAAAAAGTTTTGGTGGCAGATTGCATTTGGTTCTGTGAACTGACCGGCAGGTTCTCCTTCTGCTGCAGGGCCGCCTTCTTCTTCCAGAGCCGCTGTCGGAGCTCCACGAGCCTGCGGTCCATGGCGGCCACCTCCTGGTTCCGCTTGCTCAGGCTGTCCCTGTGCTGCTGGAGCCTGACACTCTGATCCTGGTTCAGTTTGTTCCTCAGCTGAGGAGGAGCGAGGTGCAAGGTCAGGTCAACGACTCAGACCCAGGTTAATTTACAAAACTCAGAGTGGGTGTAGTTTGGTGGGAGCACAGGAATGATTTAGCTTATCATCTGACCCAACGTTCCCATCAATCTGACCTTCTTGAGTGTAGAAAAATAATAAGGAATCGTGGCAGCAGGTACGCAGGCGTCACGTGTTCTCGTTATAAATAATGAGCAAGTCCCACCGTTTTCTAGCACAGACCACACGCGTAGTTTTTCATCGCACCTGCAGCTCTCGGTAGAGGCGCTCCAGCTCAGCCGTGGACGGCATGGTGTGGTGGTGAGAAAGAGGAGCCTCCAGCCGGCTGTTCCTCAGAGCGTCCAGCTGCTCGCTCAGCTCCTCCACCCTCGCCGCGGCCACCAACAGCTCCCGCTGCTTCTGGTGGAACAGGCCGGTCATCTGCTCGATCTCCTCCACTGGCGAAAGCAAGCAAAGAGGGGTTTCAGTGCAACATCGGTATCAATCAGTCAATCA